CTCGTATGTGCGGATATCGACCGAACAAGACATTTAAATCATCTGTACATGCTGACCAGAAGCAAGTGCGAGAACCGACTGTAAAAAAAAAAAAACTATCGGCAGTAACAGCTGACAATCTGTGGCTGCTCCTCAAGTTAATTTGAGATTTTGCAGAGTTAAGATGGGGATGCTTGAAAAAAACTTTATGCTCGCGCTGATATCCGCACGTCGTTGGGTGGTCGGAAGCCGTTCGTCACCGTCGAATCAAGACGCAATTTTTATTTGGAAAGGAATATCGTGTCAGTCCTGACTGTACGACCTGTAACATGAAGTTGAACGGCGCGTTTCTTGGTGGATAGTCACTTGACAACCCCCCCCCCCCCGTTTTGGTGTGGTGTAGTGGGTTGCGTAATCGGTTCGCAACCAGGAGGTAGCAAGTTCAAATCCCGTCAGGAGACGTTTGTTATTGTATTTTTTTAATTTTTATTATGAATGCACGCTAATATATATATATATATATATATATATATATATATATATATATATATATATATATATATATATATATATATATATATATAATTGTGTGTGTGTGTGTTGAATAGGCACCCCCGTTTTAAGCCTTTGAAGCCATTTTGCGCAGAGTCCTCCAGCGTACCAGTACCTGCGTATGGGAGACGCTGGTACCAGCGCCATACTGGGAGCGTAATCAGGCATGGCGCAGGGCGCTGGTTATTGCAATAGGGTCAGATATCACACTGAAAAGTTTTGTTGTGGCTTGTATCATTATGCATGCTGGACAGTGAGAACTAGTACACAGCTACTACTCCCTGAGGTGCCGCATATAATCTGACCATCGTTCGAAGCCATAGACAAGCATTATAATGATTACCTTTTGACTACCGGCCATATATAGCAAGCACTGACTGTTCATCCCACCAGGGAGTAATGTGTTGCTGATCCTCACTGCCTTGCGTGCATAATCATGAAAAGCGCAATAAACTTCTGAGTGAAATATCTCAGAACATAGACATCGTCGAAGAATTTTTGGAAGTGGGAGTGCGTAAAAACACGACTGCCACAAACTGTTCTCTGTAAACATGCCCACTTATTGCAGGCACTAAAATTTTGGGATTCTTAGTTGATTGGTCAGATGACAGCATTATGGTCTTACTTTGTGTCCCCTTGAGACATAAAATGTCGGCAAAGGCAATTTTCTCTTCATAGGGCTGAATTTTATAACAAGCACAAAGCACGTCTCTGAATGTATCAGTGCTGCTTCCTAAGGTTTTAGGTCACGTTTATTTTTTGTGTAATCTGCAGTTAGTCGCTTAAAATTGTACTTTTTGCATTGCAATAAGGCTGTAGCAGATTAATGATCTTATTTTGACTGTAATATCAACTGCATAGTTTGTTTTAATGTTTTTGTAACCATAAATATTTGCCTTCTTGAACTTAATGCCGTAAGTACGATTAAGTTATTTTCTACTGTCACACTTATTCATACTTAACTTTACCAGTACCTAACCATGTGCGATATAATACAGTCATGCCTAACCATGTTTTACATTATTATTGATGACTGACAGAAGGCATTCCGGAATACTGTAGCATTTTTTTATTCACTGCGTCTTTTGTGCGAGTATTTTGGGATAGAATTAGAATTCGGGGCGTTGTCAAAACCACAATTCGATCGTTAGACACAGCTATGTAGTGAAACCTATTTATTTAGACTACTCATGGTTCTAACATACCTAAATTTAAGTGAACTGGGTGAGAAAAAATCATTTGTTTGACTGCTGCTTTTTGGCTGTAACAAATGTTCTACCTTCATATATGAGCTACTAGGCCAATGTGTTTGCTAATCTAGCCTGTTAAATTTTTTTGCACAGATAGAAGTATGCTCGAAGAGAACAGATTGTGCCTTTTGTATGTGAGAAGGTTTCTGGACCAAGTAGCAGGCCAGCCCCTCAATCGCTTTGTATAATTATATTTACTATAAAGCATGCAAGTTTTGCGACAAATTGTGCAGTCGTTGTTATGTATAATAAAGGTTACAAGTATGCAACAAGATTTGTTGAAATTTTGCATTTACTTTTGGATGTGCAGGATGATGCCTTCCTGGCAACACCAGAGTCAATAATGGGTTGACGCTTAAAACCCCGTCTTGTCTCCAAGGAAAACATATTATCGTAATGATAGACGGCAGTCACTGATTAATTATTTCAACAATTATGTCACTAATTTTGCTCATTAGAATAGTGCCAGCAATAATTTGATGCCAAATTATGTTACTGCCCCTACTTGTCCCTCTCAGCAATGAACAGCCAAGTGTACTGATTGTAAAACTCTGATATGATGCAATAATTTAACCACGGGAAACGCTCAAGAAGCTGGTTTGCATAAAAAATAAATGTCTAAAAAGAGGCTAAAAGATCTGTTAAAAACCTTTTTGGAATCTCTGCAAGAATTTTTACTAGGCTTCTAATAATATAAGTTTAGTAAACGTTCACAGAGGTTCTTAAAAATCTAGAAAGACGTTTTTCTATAATTCTTGTTGGAAGTTTTGTTGCCATATAATATCGTGGCATTAGCACAGCTACAGGAAGTTTTCAAGCTTCTAAGGTTTAAATAACATCTCAACAAGACTTCTTATATGCTTTTGGACTATCTTTTCTGGACATTTACTAGAAGTTTTAGAGCTTTTGTTGTGTTTCGCGGGAGGTACCTCGGTATCATCCATGTTGGAAAGCTTCACTGGAGAATGCATTATGAACATGCAGTGGCGAAAACGTCATGGGCGTTAGGCCTACTCAGGTACGACGTACATGCATACATGCATTGCATACATACAATACATACATGCATTACACAATGACATTTTAGTTGCTTGGAATGTGTATGGAGTATTATTTTGAGATATCATGCACTCCATAATCAAATTCTTGAGAAGGTCATATTTAGTTATTGCATTTGCAAAAAAACCTTGAAGCACGCGTACTATTGCACTTCAACTTGCTGAATTAGTCTGGATGGATCTATCACAATAAACAGCGGTGAGCTTTGGTACTTGTGGATTGCATATAATGACATTTTCAACAGCTGCAGTTGAGATTACTAGCGCCAAATGATTGAAGACAATAAGCGTTATAAAGGTACAAAGGGGACGGTGCGAAGAATTAAAAAACATGTACAATGACATGAAACGTGCGCGTAGTTGAATAGCTATATGCGATTTATGGCAAACTTGTAAAACCTATGCAAATATAAGAGCTGTAAGACTTCTAAGAACTTATGCAAGCTAATCCTTCCACAGGACGTTGCGTTTCATCTAGAAAAATCATAGAGGTAAAGAATTTGTGAAGGAGGTGCATCTGTTGAGGACAAGTCTGTACCAGATGTTAGGAAGAGTCTCGAAATAGTGTGTATTTAATTTATTCTGCAAACGCTACCACGTGGCACTACTGAAACAGCTGCAGAATTTAACAACTGCTAACCTACTGAGGAAATATAAGAAAGATAGACTTAATATAGTGGAGAAAAAAACAATAGTTGCAATACACACACAGCACTTCAGTAAAGAAAAGAGTACATAGCAGTAAAAGTAACGCAACATGTCTTGCTGTCACATTCAGCATGGCAGTGAATCTGCTTTGCTGATTGCTGCTGTACTGATATAATTTGTTACTTTCTAACAAGATCTGTGTGATGAGTTTTTAGAGCAGCTCACATGTTGTTTAGTGTAATAGCTGTGGATGTACACTTGCATACTAAATGCTGTGTTCAAAGCTAATAGCGATTTGGACAAATCAAATAGCATATGTTACATATAAAAATATAAACATTCGGCTTGATCAAACAACCTAGACGACACTTTCCAGATCTAGAACATGTCATGTATTAATGCCATTTATTTTTGTTTGAAATGAATTAGAAGCAACGTTGCATAGTTTCACGATTTCAAGTTTGGTAAGGCTGTGACCTATTGACAAATAATTAAGGTACACCTGAAACTTCGCTTCACCTTGAGGAGTACATAAACATGTTCGGCAAGCTTCTAAGTTTTCGAATTGGTAAAATTGCCTGTGGGTTATGACGCGTGAAAACTTGGGCATTTTGGCAGGACGTAACTGAATATACGAACTGCGCAACCTAAACGTTGTAACAGCGTAACAACAAAAGCAATAAAGAAGAACAAAAAATAGCGCTGTTTGAAAGACAGCACTCTGTTCTTCTTTGTTGCTCCCCTAGTTGCGCTGTAACTACTTCTAGGCTGCAGTGTTTATATACTCAGCTTTTAGGTGATTTGTTCATTTAGCCTCAAAATAAAACTTCAAGGCAGTGCTCAAATTTTAAATGGATAATTGTTCTCATGGGGTAGCACCCTTATGAAGTAGTGAAATCACCCATTCAGGGGTTTATATGAAGTATATTACACGTCTCTTCATTCTTTGCATACATTGAAATTTTTGAATAATGTAAGATTATGTCTAAGCAAATTCAAACGCTATTGCACGTGCTGAATTTGTAGGAACACCTCCAGACAGCAGTTGCAGCTTTAATCGCGTCACCAATTTATTGACACCTACAGCATCAAGTCATTATCTAGGTTGTACATCTAGATAATCATACTTTTCATACTGATTACTGTGCCAGACTGTTTGCCGTTATGGCCTTGTATGCTCTGGTCATTGGGTCCCGTCAAGCTACTTGCGCAGCTTTTAACCCAACACAACTATTAAGCATGTGTACTATATTGGAGAAGCGGAAGTAAACTGAAATTAACCTAAGTGGTTCAGGCTGGTACTTACTTGTTGACCATGCCGATGAACTGCGCTGTTCCAAGGCACCCTTTAAAGCGAGGCAGAGACAGTTCAGATGCAAACTTCAGTGCTTTGCTCACCGACGCGCTAAATGTCTTGGCCGCAAGTTCCACTTTCATAATCTGTTGAAAAGAGGACAAATCATGCATGTTCTTGAATGATGTAACACAAACTCAAAAACAAGAGAAACGAGGATAAGACACAAAGAGCACGATGTTCATTTATTGAGATGTGATGTCTTCATCTGCGCCACTTTACCGGACGGTGGTACTCGACGTGAGCCCGTGAAAGTTTGTTTGTAGCATTGAGGCTCTCCTTCTCCTGGAGCTGATGAAGCGCTTCAATGTGTATCCACTGAATGACCTGCAAGCATTACAAGTAGAGACTTTTATGCATCAATTTGAAGTAAAAAATCACATATATCAAATGATTAGCTTATTCACCAGTATAACCATGATTCGATTACCAGAAAGGGCAAGCGGGTTAGGGGGCAACAGATAGTTAGGTGGGCAGATGAGGTTACAAAGTTGGTGGGTATAAAATGGCGGTAGCAAGCACAGGTCCGGGTTGACTAACGGATCATCGGAGAGGCCTTTGTCCTGCAATGGACGTAGTCAGGCTGATGATGATGATGAGGAGTGGTGTTTTGAAAAGTTCTTCAGGGGTTATGTTTCGCGCATGAAAAAGTAAGAATGTAGGGGTCCTGAAGTAAGAGAATAAAGAAAAATATACTTTTACGAAGGCTTATGCCGAACGATAACTATGGTAATGCCCCACCTGTGGCGATGTTGCTGACGTCTACGCAACGATGTCTTACTAATTTCCATATAATTTGGTCTGACTTAGTTTATCAGGAGGCAAATAAGAGGCATTTCCGATTCATGATCTCCGCATTCTCTTTCTTTATATTCTTTTAATAAAATGTCCAGCTTTTCGCTACCACACTTTTCCCTTTTAGCAACCGCTGCTCTGTGATTTGAGGAACAAGATGTTATTGCCCCTTACTGCTGTCACTTCGAGCATGGCCAGATAAGTGATAGAGACTAAAAGAAATCATGCAGTCTTGAAGTGAGATATGTAGTCAAACAATTTTTTATCAAGCCAACGGGCTCCTTAGGAAACCTTTAACAATGTACCTTCAAAAAAGCTCTTAACTAAGAATGCTCTTCTTTCTTTGTTCATGTACAGCCACCATTGCTGGCAGCCAACTTGAAGCCTCAGATTCAAATATTGTCCGAAAGCCTGTAGTTGTGTGCATGGTCGTATATGTGGGACCGAATATTTTTCTTACTTATCATCGGTCCAGCCATTTTTCAACATGCACCTTTATCCATAGAAACAAAGAAAATGCTTTATTGCGTGTTTAACAATAAAACTTAAATATTTATATTCTATTAGAAAATGTTAATAAGCAAATAATCATACTCTTAAAAAGTGAATGCTGGTTAAAAACTTGAAAGCTTACTTTGCTTCAAGGCCGTCCCGCTACGTACAATGCCATATCATGACGTGTACGCCTCGTGACGTGTTCACAAGGCGTACACGTCACAATCACCCACATGCTTTAACCCGTCATTTTGCTAGGACAGATATTTATAAACACCCATTTTTTCCCCGGATAGTGTCAGAGTAGAACTCTAGACATGAATGAATGACCTTTTTTAAGTTACCGCAGTACCCGCGTTAGGTGTTGTGTTTTGATTTTGTATGTTGTTTTCTATGTTGTCTTTTGATTTTGTATGATTTGGTATGATTTTTATGTCGGAGTGGAATTCTGGGCATATAATGAATGATCTTTTTTAACTTACCATAATTCACGCGTTAGGTGCTGTGTTTCTATTTTGCATGTTTTACTTCATTTTACTTACTTCTGTTGTAACTACAGTACTGCATTTTTTTATAGTACGCAGTATGAGTGCCTTTACTAAGTTGAGTGTAAAAATTTGCGCATTCCTTGTACTCACTGTATTGATATTTTGGTAATGTATTTCTTTTTTAGTGTAGTATGAGTGCCGCTCCTGCAAGGACCGAATTCTGGTCTGCAGTATGTTATAAATGAAAAAAATATATATGTTCATTGATTCACGCCACCGTACTTTAGTTTGTGCCATGCTTCACATTCAGAAGCATGGTATGCTCAAGCAAAAATTATAAAATGTGCATCGGTCATCAATACTAGAGAAACCTTCACAGTTGTTTGAAGTAAACAAGTCATCTTTCAAGTTTTGGAATTTTATGATGCCATACACACTAACGCACACTTTTGGAAGTGAGAGCAGCTGAATAAACAGTCCACTAAGTTCGCTCTACGAGGTTAAATACCTGTGTTCCTGGGCGCATTTCCCGTCACAGTTATTCTTCCTTTACACTCTGATCGCCAAAACTTGCGTGGTCAAGGACATCCGGGACGTATATAGACTTAAAATGGTCATTCATCCTAGTTAGAGAGTACATCACATTCTTGTGCGAGGGGGCATTGCAAAGGTAAAGTTTTTTGAACAAACATGTTTGTCATGCGGTATTTTGCCTCTCGTATGCACACGCCAGCAACTAAAGACATTCTTTATTTGGCAAACAATGGTTAGTGTGTTTCTAAGATGTGACCACACAATAAAAACATTGTTTTCTGCCCTGCTATTTTCATTATTTCTGAGGAAAAGTATGTGTAACAATTGAAGCCCTGCTTACCCCATATGTGCTTCTTATCAGGGTCCCCTTGTCACCAAGGATGTTCCGCAGCAACTTTAGACCATGGCACGCATCAAAGATGACATGAATGTCGCGATTGTGTCCTGGGCACTGAAATGTTGTGGTCAGGTCATCGTAACACTGTTCATGCACACGACAGCCGAATAGTTTTGCCATTCACGCATTCGCCCCTAGGCAGTCTCAAATTACAGCCATGACGATGAGCCCGCACTCTTGCAGCTTCTCCAGAGATTGCATCACAAGGTTTCGAAGGACTTCACCTGATAGTCCAGCATTTAGGAAGTACACAAATGGCATCCTCCATGGTGCAGCTAGTCCAACAACCATGAACAGAAGCGCGTCAGTGGCGAGCGGGGTGCTCTTTGGGTCACTCGGCTGCTGCCTGTTGTCTCCCAAATCAGGATAGCCGATAAGACGCCCTGTTGAAATAGCCAAGTCACACACCTTTTTGATACTCATCCCATCCAACAAAACTGAGCACATGTGCTCACAAGAGGTGGCGCTTGCGTATTTAGTCTTCAGGGCTATAAGCACCTGAGGTGTGAAACCTGGCCAGCCATCAACAGCCTTGAGCCATCGTCATATTGCTTGTACACACGGCATAGGAAAAAGTGTGCAAACGTAATCATACGCTCGGGGCGAATGGTAGTGTAACGTTGCAGCAGATGTTCTCAATTCAGGAGCATACTTCCTTCCACGGGGTTGTTCTGTCGAATTTCTTTGCCAATCCACAACAATTGCCTTTGGTAAATTTCTTACTGCGTCTTTTAACACTGCCTGCGAATTTTGTTTTTGCTCTAGCAGTGTCTGTGTTACACATTCCAAGCTTTCTTTTTTTCTTGTAACGACTGGCCTTTTCTCCAAGGAACTTCACTTTTTTTTCTTGCAGCATATAGTTGCTTGCTGAGCATCTTCACTCTGCTCTCGGGCTCCTCTCTTTTGCTGTACGAGTGCTCAATGACGACGCTTTGCAGGCGTGCGCTTGGCAACTCAACTGCTGTCTGCGTGCGGGAGGAGCTTTGGCATGTTCGCTTGTCGGCTGGCATCGACGTGTCTTGTGCCTGCAAACGAATGTTCACCACAGATTAACTTAACTGATCGTTTATGCAATGACATAGTAACTACTAGAGCCAATTAGTAAATACACTTTGTTTGATAAGCAATGAACAGCAGGTAGCAAACGCAGAAGAGCTGTCTTTTAAGAACACAAAGGTTTTTTATTGCTTGCACTGCAGCAAACATAAGCATATCTCGACATGCGCTAAATAATTAAGAAGAACATGTTTATCTTGTGTTCAAAAGCACCTCTACAGAAACTTACTGTGTGGGCAAATCATTGTCATAGGAAAACGTCATTGCCGAACTAATGACCACACAAGGCTATAACCATAACCAATCATAAGACTTCACACAAACCACCGTGATACAGCTCACACTTTGACACGGACACGAAGATTGGACAGAAATGACCACTGTTCTCATTCGTCTTTTTTTATTCTTCCTTGTCATAGTGTGTAATAGTAATAATTTCACTGATCAACACTAATGAGCATGTTGTACGACACTGTTCAGTTCCTCTAAAAGTATAGGTGCCTTTGATTGAACAAAAAAATTAGTTGTCATGGCATTTAAAATTTGTATAACTGCCATTTGTGGGTGGTGCCTATCATGTAAGCAGATTGAATTGACTTATCACAAATCGGGGGAAAGTAAATTAACAACACAGTAGCTCAAAACAGCAATATAGCCTGCAAGCATGTCTTAGTAGTCTTACACATACTCCAGAGCACGACACTTTTTACCTTTAACGTGCAATGCACGCTGTTTGCACTCAGTCTAATAGCAAGGCAAACAAGCAACTTTGTTGATATTTGTGCATAAGTACTTCTATAACGAAAGGGGCACGCAACAATTTTATTCTCGCGGTTTTTTTTCAGTACTGTCGTTCTGGGGACCTCTTAGTCACAGCAGAACACATAATTTTATGCGGGGTGTGACCAGCGGTGGAAGTGTTGCCTAATTGCTCTAAGCTGTTCCAAGAGAGAAGTGCTGTTTCATACTGCTCCACAGAGTGATGTTTGTTAGTAACTGCTCCAAACCTGCTACAAAAAGATATTAAGAAACGTAAAACAATGCACTTCAACTGTGTGAACATTCAGCAAGCCTACAAGAAACCAAAATCAAGCTGTAAGTACTTTCATCTTAGTATGCAAAAATGCAGCTGGCTTACTAACTGCATGCCTGCTGCAAACTGGCATATTGACAATGCCAGAAGTCCTAGCAATGTATGCGCCTGATTTATCTCTATATTTGGACCTGACAAGCAGATGATTTTGATGGACTGTGTGTGATGATGGTTCGATATCATAGTGCTAAATAACCTCTGTGATTATGACGTTAATGCGTTTCAAAAAACATGGACCTTTACATCACCTTTCACCTCATTTATGCCACAATAGGTGACGTTTTACGTAACTAGCCTTCCTTTATTTTTGCTTTTTATTTCTATTTTTAGTTAAAATATTGAGAGTTACCTATTCCTTTGATCTCGTACCAATATAAACTGCTGCTTTGGCGATAGTTCCATGCGGTTTTGCCTAGTCTTAAAACGTGGTGTGTCGCTTTATCAATGTTATGTCACTCATACCACTGGTACCAACATTTTAAATATATGAAGCTCACCTTACTTAGTGTTCAGGGACCAGTCATCTCCTTAATCATTTGTTTCTTGTAGTTTGCTATGCTTATTCTACATGTAATATCTTTATTAATGTGCATTGTTTATGACGTGTTTAAATGATTCTTTTATTCCAGGAGTCGTTTGGAATAATTTGCCAAGTGCTCCGAAAAATGAAATGCTCCTTCAATCAAAATGTTAGACAGACAGTTATTTACAGACTTGTTATTACCAACCAGTGTTACTTCCGGTTTCAAAAAACGACAAGCCATCGTGTGCAACTACTACCACCTAGCTCGTGCAACACTCGTTTACGGCAGCACACAAAACTGTGATGCACTTCCGTGTGGTTCGCATGAAGAATTATTTTGTCGAACAGGAAATGGGGCAGCAATGTCATCAAACACAAAACATACAACGCACGTGCCACGACGACACATTCCCGAGCAGCTGCCGAGTAAAAGTCTGCTGAAGCGAACATGGCCAAATAAAAATAAATACTGGCTTTGATGTAGTCATAACTTGCTGCAGTGTAGTCAATCAAGGGAAGGAGGGGGTTCTCAAAAAACCCCTTTGAGGCGATCTTTCAAGCAAATTTGAAAATTCATTTACCATACCTTCCAAGTTATTTCCTCTGGTGATATTTCGCAGATACCACACATATGTTCACGGGAATCGGTTTCATGGGCTATCTTATGCGTGAAATTTTGTGTCAGTACGCCTTAAAAAAACCAATCGATGGGTAACTGCTGTACATAGTACACTGCACATACTGGGATATTAGTAATAGTAGCTTGCCATCTGTCACTTCATGAGCCAGAGAGTTGCAGTAATCAGCAGTGTAAAGATAATGTCTCACAAGCATTGCTATTTGCATACGGCATTGCGCAAAAATGTGCATAAAGAATCGCTTTTTCCTTATTTCTTACACCTATTTAGTGCTGTGCAAACAAGATAACTAAATTGTTCTTTGCAAGTCTGCCACCTGATGACCAATTTCTTTGCTTCTTAAGCGGAGGGGGCGATGCAGTGTACAGTATTTTACTATTTATTACGATAACGCGTTGACATTCTGCATGCTTGTGTGGTTTGTTGTGCCGATATTACAAATATCAGTTTTGAAATATCTCTCGCAGTTCTTGATTTATGACACTTACTAAGCTCCCATTTACATTCAAAAATAAACTAATTAGGTAGACTAATTCCGACATTTTCACATAACTATATCCAAAGAAGCTATTGCGTATGTCCTGTGAAACTGTTGGTCGATGTAATAACAGTTTTATAAGCTCAAAAACAATTTTGAGATGCCCTGTACATCAGGTTCACTGGAAACTTAAAAAAATTGCAGACTTTTTGCTCACACCACACTGATGAACTGGTATTTTCGAAACTTTTATTGCTCATTTTGTTTTATCACTTTGTCATGATGTAAACGACTGGTCAAACTTGACATCTTGTCAACATTTATTATTGCAATTGCCACGTCTCCATAATATTGTGCAAAAAATGCGCTTTGCTTATGGAAACATTACTCTGCCATTTGTGCACATTTGTTTGTTCTTTGTTAGGACCCGTGCACACATGCCAACACACACAAAATGATGTGTTGCTAAATGGTGGCAGTCATCTGTTACCTCATTCTGTGGCAAATTAAGGTGGACAGAACACAGAAGGATGAAGCATGTACCAAGTTGCCCTATTTGGCGCAAAACGAAGTTGTGTTTGCAATACCTTTTTGGTGTGTATGTTTCACTGTTAAACAACACTGAACAACAGCCTCTAAAACATAAGCTTTCATTACTTCAATTACACGACTTGCTCTTCGTACACAGAGCATGATCTGCATAGATTGCTTCCTTGCACATGAGCATAAAGTCTGTTACGTGAGCGGTATGCATACAATGATTGCCTTCTGCTCACAACAAGTGGTGCTGCCTTTTTTGCATTTTCAGTGCTGCTCCACATCCAGCATTTTTCGCAGTCTTTAGTTGTATCTCAATGAAACAGTTCTTCATCTTTGAGCAGGAAGGTTTGTTCAAATTACTAGTTCATTGACATGTGCGCCTTGGTATTTTTAATAAAAAAGTAGCAGTATGATTACCTGTTCTTTTTTGGCTGGTGTCATGAACTTCGATGGCATGACACCCTCATGGAGGCGGCGGCGTTGGCTGCCAGCGTAAAAAGTGGATTCTTCAAAATGTGTGGAGCACAGCACGTGGCGCCCCGACGGTACAAAGCCGGGCTGCCCCAATGCCTGAAGACATTTTTGCAGCAAGTCTGGGTCATGTACCGAGAACCTGCACAATCAGAAAGGTTTCCCTTCTTTTGTAGAAACTGTCATATATGAAGCGGGACTTTGCATTGCTGTTCTTGCAGCTTTTGGTGCATTTTGGCAAGATATGTTTCTTGTAAATGCTTAAACAAGTTCAAGAATGCACATGTTTGAAGCCATGTCAAGTAATTCAATTTCGAATGTCACTAGGGCCAACATTTTATAAAGGAAATTTCACCTTTCAAAATTCCTTGTCCAACAAATCCAACACTATTTACATGGCGTCATTGTCGCTATGGCCAAGTTCAACTGTCGCCACTCGATGAAATACAGCGTATAATTTTCTGGTAAATACAATGATTTATTGCAGTGACTGCACATTCTTTGGATGTTTTCATGAGACACACACATCCCCATTCTTACTGCACTGCAACGTTGCACATCAGCATCTGCTGACCAGACTTTTTATCTGTTGTGTTGGTTAGTATTTCAAAAACATGTCTCACTAACGTCTTCATCTGTTAGCCTAAGCAGGTAATGACACTACTTTAGTATTAGTTCCACATTGTTCCGCGATGTGTTTTCGAACTGCAAGGTCCCCTTACATAAAAACAAACACGCCAAAAATATTTCTGCTTCACTAGCTATATAAATGACCATGCACACTTCTCTTGCCCTTTAGCTATAAAAAGTGCCTCACATTTTCTTTTATTTTATTATTTGCCTAGACAGCATTTCGCAACCTTTATATACACTTTACCAACTAAAAACTGCACATTGTGTGTTTACGTGCCTTCTAGCTCTCCCATCACCATAAGGTTGAACATTATGTATATGTCAATTTTTTCTGATTTTGATAGTGCATTGTGATCACAGGATTTAACTTTTCTATCAAAGTTCTCAAGTTGACCTGTATACTTCCTTCTGATTTCACTGTGTAATTTCGAAGGCTGCCAAAGGTCTTCAATGTTTAAAAACTGTACTGCTACTATTTATGTCGCTAATTGGTGCTGCATCTCAGATGGCAGGCCGCACCTATACAGCTTTGCATTTTTATTGTTTTATCTTGTGTATTTTCGTTATACTGACCATTAGTACACACTTACCTGAAGCCAATAAGCTGTTGAGGCAATATTGAAAAAAATCTTCAAACACTGTCTCTAGGATTGCACATTTTAGCTCATGCTTTTTTCTCTCGGTAGTCGCACCTTCAGGACATTCAACAAAGAGACTTGTGCGGCACGGTGAATTCTAGCTTTTTATACACTTTGGTTTTGCACGTATACCTGTGAAGTGAGACAGCTGTGTTTGCTTTCTCGCTTTTACTTGAGAAAAACGGTAGACACAGCGCAGGGGCATTGTCAGCGACGTTGGGAAAGTTTTACACCTGTTTGCTACTATCAAATGCAGCAAGCACGCCGGTGCTACTATGCTCCCCGAAGGTTTTGAGGCGCTGCAACCAGGGATGACTGTGTTGTCAGCGTAATATTCGCGAAAACGCTAAACTTCAAGACGTTTGCCATAGTTCTCGGTGCTGAACCAGCTTCACGGGAAGTGCAATGACTTCAGCTGAAGCGAAGGCAATGCATTGAGCAGACGATACCTCACTTCACGTTAAGCACAACATCTCAAACAGTTTACAAAGCCACTTAGAAAAAACTTTATTTTTCGTAATGTACTGTAAGAAATATCATTTCATTCACTTATAAAAATTGTCTTCGCATTGGAGGATTTCATTACGGAGTGCCGGGACACGCACGTTGATTCACTCGACCAAACAGTCGACTTAGTGAACGCTGTTGTCCTAGTTTTTCTGCAAACGTAAAAAAATATAAGTACGAGGTGCCCATTTGAGGTCATTTTGGCAAACCCGTGCGAGTTTCGCGACTCTTGCTGAACGCTGTGTCCGATGAAGCAGCACATAAACACCACATCTCCCGGAGCAGACGACATTTTTACCAGACGACGTCGTGGTCTTTTTTTATTATTGTTTCTCTGGTGCGTTGAAGGGAAACATACGGTTGTAGATTTTCACACACAATAACTCTACTAATAAGTTATACGTGAAGACATTTGTTGGTAAATCATTTATTATTGAAAATCACATGAACATCAACAACAAGAGTTACCTCGGCAAGAAAGAATACCGCGATTCACAAAGCGTTTCGGCAGGTTCTTCGTTGGTCTAACTATTTTAGCCTTAGCACAGTACATCACAATATCCGCATTTCTTCATACACAGCAACATTTTGTCTATTAATATTGATTAAGCTCACTAACCGAGCTACCCAACGCGGAAACTGTGCGGTGCGGGCTAAAAAACTGCTCAGTCGGACATCCCACCGCACACGAAAAACCCATTGAGCACAAATTTTTGAATAATAAAATAAATTTAATAAACGACGCATTCAAATCTGTTAAATAGGTTCACCAAATTTTGAAACTTGCGTGTATCACACGTAAAATTATTAATTTTGGTTTCTATTTTTCAAAAAGATACAGCTAAGTTTAGACACTTGCAGAAAAGGCAACACTGACATTGTACTAAAATTTTGTTTGATTTCATGCGTATTTTTACTTTTTTAAAGCATATAATAGTAATGTAAAATTGAGCTTGCCACAGTTTTTACGTGACATTTTGTCTGTATTTCATTAAATAGCAATTTTTTAAGTCGAAAAGTCATTTGAAGTCAGAAGTACGAAGACTAGGCAAATGTGTGTACTACTAATCATTCCCATTCTCGCTGAAGCGTCGTGCGTTGCAGCTTACATAGACACTAGCGCCAGAGTTCCCTCTAGTAAGTATTGTGTGAAACTCTATGGTGTCAACATCGTCCCGGCCACGCCTTGAAAAAAGGCGTTCTGGTATTTTATTTCGCGGCGCGCGATTCGCCTTTGTGATTGGTCGAGAGCGCTCGCCAGCCGCTAGCGCAGCACTTCTAGTCGCATAATCGAGTACTCGCAAGTCGCAACGTCTGCGCTCTGCCTATTTGGGTTTGTTCGGGATGCATACGTGCCAATGTGACCATGTCACAATGATGAGTAAACAGCAAACACACTGCTTTGCAACTTGATGAAATGCGGGATATGTTTCGGCCCGCAAACTGTGAAAGCAAGTGTCTCTCTTCTTTGCTCCCGTCGACGATGGATGGTGCAAGGCCTGGGAGCGTGCGATTCCTAGAGCTGACAAACCAGTGGAAAAGAACTGCATTGTGCGCGAAGCTCATTTCCACGAAAGATTCATCGTCCGTACCTACAAGCATGTTATGCACGGGTTCTTAGCAATTTGGGAAAAAGCTGTACCAGCGAGGGTGGGTTCCGGAGTGAATCAACTGCCGAAGGACTCCGCGTCACCCTAACCAGCACCCTTTCCATCCTTCACTACTTCCCGAAAAATTTGAGCTATAAATACTTGATGACTTCTCGCCTCTGCCAAGATGCGCCTAAATTTTGTTTGGTATTCTGAAGCAAATATCTGGCTCGAACGATCACCCTACGTCGACACAGTTTTTGATCTCTGTGAATTGCCCCAGTTTTTACAGTTTGGCACAATGACCCTCGAGTGGAAACATACATACTGGAGTTCTGAGCACCCCGTCTATGTCCGGGCATTCAAAATAATTCAATAAAACTGCAGAATAAGTTGGATGAGCTGCTAGGTGGGGTGCCTCAATGAGGTTCATAAAATGGTCAATGTTGCTTGTGAAGCACTCCCTGACTACACTGATCCCATTGGTCGCAAAAGTGACTCCCGCATCACTCATTACGTCAGTGGCTATGTGGCCAGGAATATGATAAAAAAGACGAAGTGCAATGAATGTAGCAGGTATTTGCTTCACTCTGAGAATTCCCGCTTGCTTCAGGCAGAATCATGCCTCACACGTTTTATAGACACAAGTGGCCTTCTGTACTCATCCGAGTCCTTAACAGACCTGGTCAAAGCTAAGGAAGGTGCATTCACCTATTGCTTCAGTTACACCAAGGTGAAAAGTGACAGAATAACAGACCTTATCTCTTGCCTGTCTGTGAAGAGGTTGATTGATTTTGTGGGGTTTAACGTCCCAAAAGCACCATATGATTATGAGAGACGCACGAGGTTAAATATGGTCGGCTTTGAACACCACGAAGTGGAATTGACAAATTAGATAATTATATTCTTTACACTAACCATAATTCATTTTCTCGTTGCTAGAGAAAATGCGTCTAGTCAAAAAAAGAGAGAAAAAATGACGTTCTTGAAGTTGAGCCACATGACTTGACTGTCATTTTGTTAACTGAGCGAACAATGTAAAAACAGAGTAAAATTGAAGTTTTTGAAGTTCAGATGTATGAATTAAGTTTCGTAATGTTACCTCAGTGAACGAGGTTTTATTTTATGTCATTTTGCAATACTCACACTGTGTTGTTTTTGTGATTGTACTATTCTCTTGTTCACACTGGTGACAATCTCCCATAAAATTGTGATGTCACTGTCTCGCTGTGTTTCACATATGCAAAAATCAATTTTCTTGTGAACTGGTTTGTGAGTGTATTTATGTTTGCCGATCAAATCTCAATGTCAGGTGTGTATGTGTTCCCATTGTATGATCGTATATGTACTGTTCTTTTTAGTTACCTTATTTATATGCTTTAGCTGAGTTTTGTTTAACTTGCAGTGTTCTTCAACCTTAATGCACATATTGTGTTTATTTTTCATGCTGTTTTTCGCTTTCGTGAAAATAAATATTTTGCTTGCAAAATTAGACCTTGAATGCACAAGTCATTTATTTATTTATCGGCAACCGTTATTAAAATAACGGTTGTCGATACCTTTACCTGCATTCAGACGTCACGGAAAACACTGCGGCATCCAAGTGAAAACTTCACGATCTTTGTTTTGGTGTCAAGCTCACGGCAAGTCATTTGATTACCGCTTTTCTAAGCCTCGCAGCGGATATACTATGAAGTTATTTGAAAAACACTAGTTTTCAGTGCCGATACACCCTTTGCAGCACACCACCAGAATTGTGACAGCAGACTTCGTTATAATCCGCAGGGTAGCATGAAATATCTGCAACGAAAAATGCCTGATACGCGCGCGGGTGCGAAGAGGGGCATCTTGAAAGCGACCGCAGCACCGCCGCATCCGGATGAATTCTCGCTCGCTCTCCGGCGCGCCGATGCTGACACCTCCCCTTCTAACTACCATACCTAGGCCACGCGTGGTCGTGAGAAAAGCATTTAGCGCGAGGCTAATTTCATTAGTTCGTGCCATGGCTCGCCGTGGCGCTTCAGTCACCCGGCTGGAACAGTGCTGGAATGTAATGTCGCTTCCGGAACCTGACTCGGCAAGACGTTTCCAGCAACACCCTCTAACATGAGAGCTATGGAAAGGGTGGGACCTCTCTCTCTCGTAAGATGACGCAACCCTACATCTCCACGCCCCTTTCCTTCTAGATTTTTCGAGTAATTTCTCGCCGGCCAATCAAGGAAGTTGTTCGTCGAAACTACGCCTCCGAGGGGGAGATAGGACGCACCCGAGGTGTCCTTTGATGATTGTGTTCTTCTTTACCGATTCCTTCGGAGCGACTCTCTAGCACCTGCTAACGTCGCCGTCCCCAGATTTCGGAGGCGCGCACTTTTCTGAGCGCTCGTTTGTGACAACAAACATTTGTTGGAACTACTCTTTATTAATCTCCTCAAATGCATCTATCACCATCAAACAGCCCTTTTCTGGGCTAACCAACCTTTTGCCCGGCAGTTTATCATTGCAGATATCTGATACCGTGCCCTCAATACAATGCAAGGTTCATATTTACGACCCAAGTTGGTTTCAGTCATCATAATAGAGCATGGAGAATGTTTACGCCCTTTATGTAAAATGTAAAAAAAGGGGCTACTCACCTTGAGCACCTTGTCGCCCTGCTGAAGGCTCCGTTCCTGCGCTCAATAAAGCACTAAGTTCTCAGATGCTTGCGCGTTACGGTGTCACTGCCATCTGCAGCCGCTTCAATGGCCTCCACCTCCATTTCCACCGCAGCAGTGCGAACATCCGCCTTCTGGAAAGTGTCGTAAGCATGATCTTTCAGAAATTGTGTATTCGTTACTCTGGCTATTTTACAACCTTACGTAATAAACATGTGCGGAAATGTTCTGCAGCTATTCAGTGGTCATTGATATCATGTATTATTATTTTAGTGCATGCACTTGCCCGCAGGCATTGCGTGTTTAAATTAATACCCCTTGTACTGCAAGGGCTACAAACTGAAATTTTTGTTAATAAACCTACCCACTTTTGGATTCTTCCTCCTGCGCTATATTCCCGTTTAACAAGGTTCCGCTAAGGACACCCCTTCAGATATCAAACTCTCTCATGGCACCGCTCAGGAAGCCGTGACACTGCGGCGGCAGAGTGCTTACTTGTTGATAGGTGAGACCAGAGACGCCACTGAAGCGTGTCATCCTAGTCAACTGTAGAACCCGGACGCAGAAGCAAGCCAGCCAACCCGCTCCAGTGCCACTGAAAATATACACCAATGTCATAGAAAAAATCGCCCGCGCCATTCAACGGTCACTCACGTTTGTGCCTCTCTGGCGACGGCGGCGTCACGGCGGGCCTCGTGCACCGGCCTGCGCCACCAAGCCTGCAACTCCTGCGCAGGCACTTCATGGTTCAGCGCGTCGCGGAGCTCTTGCCACAGCCGCCGCCGGTCGGCGACGGTGACGCCGTTCCGCAGCTCGACGGATTTTGCCACGAGCTGGGTATGTTCGTCTCTAAAGGCAAGCACCAGCGCGCGCTGAGCCTCGGAAACGCGGATGAGCCGCTGCTGCTGTTGGTTACTGATGCCGTTGCCCTCTGCCTTGATTGCGCTCGACTGAGCCAACTTCGAAAGTTGCGCCGTTTAGGTTTGTATAGTGGTGGAGATATGCGAACAGTAACTGCATGAAACGGAGTTGTACTTAGCGCCTCTACTTACCGTCCCGCTAAATTTAGCGTCATTTCAAAACAATAACGGAAAAAAATACGTTTAGATTGTGCCGTATTCCTTATTGAACGCGTGAAAACTAGTGCCAACACGTTTTCATAGTGAGTAATATTATTTAAACATTTTTCAACACGTTACAAACACTTTTCAATTGGCTATACGGTCCACAAGTCGACGTCAAAATGATCACGCAAGCCTCCATTTTCCTCATTGGCTGTTCACTTCCTCTCGTCCTCGCGACCACTGCGAACCGCCCACTTTTTGACGTCACCGACAGACTGCCTCCGTCCGGATTTGGAATTTGTGTATAATTGCACCACTCATCTATAAGTTATATCATCACGTGACTATCACGTCTCGCATTCAATTTCACCGTGCTCAAGGTGTATCTGCTGCCAGCCCCGTTGATGCTATGACGCGCAACCCCTCGTGACAACATTTTCCAATATCTATATGTAATGTTTGATAGAAGCGAAACGAGCAGCGCTTGTGTGCTGCTTGTGCACCCTTGGCGCCTTTGACTGGAGAAATTTCCACGCTGCAGGTAGAACGAAAACATCTGCCCGAAGGAGTACAAACGCCCACGAACACGCCAGTAGGACGCGCGATCATGAGTTTGCAAAAAGAACGCGCGATGATTACGGTGGCGTCACTGCACTGTTGAAATGCTGACTGAGCCCCGCCATGATGGTCTTGTGGATAAGGTACTGGACTGTTGACCCGCAGGTCATGGGATCAAATGCCGGCTGCGGCGGCTGCATTTCTGATGGAGGCGAAAATGTTGTAGGCCCGTATGCTCAGATTTGGGTGCACGTTAGAGAACCCCAGAAGGTCCCCACATATCAATCAATCAATCAATCATATATTGACTGAGTGGCGGCGCTGACGTGTTAGATCACAGTGGATCCATTGTCTTTCTTTCAATACACCGCGAATGCCACACATGCAATTCTGGCGTCATGCATATTCTTGTAGTCATATTTATCAGTGTCGCTATCGCGCAGTGCGCACTGATTTCATAAAATAGCCTACGTAAAGCTAGCTCCGAGCAAAAATTATCGGCCAGAGAAGCTCGGGACATCCTGCATAGTACCCCTGCCCGAAGCCGAGGAATGGTAACATGGATTAATTGATATGTGGGGTTTGCCATCCCAAAACGACAATACGATTATGAGAGACGCTGTAGTGGAAGGCATCTGAAGTTTTGACCACATGGGCGCAACATAAAAGGAACAGGAATAATAATAGCGGCACCTGAGCATTTTGTGCAGTTTATTCAGCAACACTAGAACGGGCTGTCCCTTTGTTATCCCGGGGTTCGTCCCAGGGCGTTCATTGAAGTCTTGCTCAGTTATTGGTTACGTCTTTTTCGATATCCTGTATGGCGTTTGCCACCCGTTTGTTCCTTTAGGTGGACAAGTGCAGAATTGTGGTATCTGCTTCATTTCTGTGTCACATAGTCAGTATAAGTCCTTGCGTGTCAAGGAAAGACGAATTACGGTTTTGCCTCTGTATATACGGCTGCCCCACGCGATGGTCTAGGGGCAAAGGTACTTGGCTGCTGACATGCTTGTCGCGAGATCAAATCCTGGCTGCGGCGGCTGCATTTTCGATGGAGGCAAAAATACTGTAGGCCCGTGTGCTCAGATTTTGATGCACGTTAAAAAACACCAGGTGATGAAAATTTCTGGAGCCCTTCACTATAGCGTCTCTCGTACCCATATATATGGTGGTTTTGGGACGTTAAACCCCACATATCAGTTTTTATATACGGCTTCACTTCAAGAAAGACGAGGAATATAAGATGCCCGCGCAAACACATTAAGAACAACCGTACCATCGATCATAAGAAGACAGGCACCACACGAAGGCAGTACTGCGATCCCGTGGCAATCACGAATTGTAAGAGACACTATCGTACAATGTGTCTTTGCGAAAGCGGTTGACGTTTGCAAAATATAGATAGATAGATATATAGGTAGATAAATAGATAGATAGATAAATATATAGATAGATAGACAGATAGATAGATAGATAGATATGTGATGTTTAACGTCCCGAAACCACCTTGTGAATATGGGAGACGCAATAGTGGAGGGCTCCGGAAATTTCGACCACCTGGGCTTCGTTAACGTGCACCGAAATCCGAGCAGACGGGCTTACAACAATTTCGCCTCCATCGGAAATGCAGCCACCGCAGCGGGGATTTGATTCCGCAAACTGCGGGCCAGCAGCCTAGTACCATCCACAAGACCACCATGGCGGGGCATGTTTACAAAAGGGACGCCACACCATACGTTGAGTTGTGAGGATTGTGCAATTCACCTATATCGAATGAAGCTCGTCTATAGATGAATGGGGGGAAATATTGTCGTGATTCGTGAGATTGGAACGCGCTGCGTGGCTTACATCAGCTTTGTGGTAGTCATATTGTTGAAATAGTGCAAGCATCCTCAACCAGCAGAGTGCCGAAAGACAACATATGCGAAGATAAGCACAGATTTCTCGTTCAACAATACTTTGTCGCTTCCAGCACTAACTGTGAAGTGGTCTATTCCACCATTGTGGTATGATTGTCTACAAAAATGTCACTGAACAAGATCGAAATTATTCTTTAAAAAGTTCAGACTACCTTTGAGCAAAAGCTTAACAATAAATAATTATATTAGACTTTGAAACGTGTTCCATGCAGCCAGTAAAAGAAGTAAGCGCGTTGCTCCTAGCAAAAATGAAAAGATCATAAATACAATGAAAGTAACACATCACCTTCGAATAGACACTGATTAGGTTGAAGAAACGCTGCTCTTTTTTTTTCTCGTATTATAGCTCCACATGCCAGAGAGCCCTTACTCTGGTTTTTGCTGTTAGGTGCTTCCCTCAAAACGGCGCGTTCGTAAAAGTTGAAATTTCACGGCAAGTTTTACTACTACCCTTACAAAGTTAGTCCAGGGACGAGACACACTTAGCTCGCAATTACGAAGTGACACTAAGGTTGTCTAATCATCCCAAGTGCAAGAAAAACTATGTGTGAAACTATATATCTTTTAACCCAGTTTTGCTTTTTTTGGTCATGTTGGCAAATCTAGTAGAAAAATGATTAATCCATGCTCCTTGGTTGGCTATGTCACTCAATGTAGCACAGCACTCTTCCCTCACAAGGACCGAAAATCAAGTTTTGTAGGGATTCAGCGAGGTGCCACAGCACTCGCTTCTCTGATGTGAACCGTGCTTGTCCCTGCTTCTTTATTCCGGTGGTTTGCAGATATGTTAATAATATATACTCAAAGAATCCAAAATAATTAGTAGTGGCTTGCAGAGCCAATTTTATTACTTTTTGCTTTAATTTATTATATGAGCAACTTCACTGTCACAATCTTTTTCTCATTGTCTTGTTCTCAGCCACTGCTTTCTGAGTCTTAGTCCTTGCTCTGTCTGCGTGTTTCTTTTAATCTTGACCTGCCTCATTTAGTTGTCAAACAAACTAGCCCTGATAGATGCATTAGGTCTTATAAATAGTTACAAACGTCCTATCAGCATAGACCCGATGTAGTCGGGCGCTGATCAGTATGAGGTCTTCGGTACGACTCCAAGCCACGGTGAATGCGTTTTTGTGGTGTGGGAATGCGTAAAACCAGTGTAGTTAAATTATGATGCGCGCCAAATAATAACAAGTCATTAAGATAGAGCCCGAGGTACCTGATTGTGAGTTTGTATACGTCAAATCACACAATTTATTTCTGAAGTTTAGGATTAGAGGTCTCCCTGATGCCTTAAATACAAAAAGAGATCTTCGCCGTCAGCAGTGTCGATATCAACACTAGTTTGGCGAAAAAATATTCACCATGCGATTACCTCCTTATAAGGTCGAATGGCATGAAACTTTAATGTATTAGTCACGTCACTAAGACGACCCACGACGGTGTCGTCACATGGTATGACCACGATTTGAAAATGTTTGGACGGTCCAGACGGCGTAGAGTGCCACGTGAAGTGAAAAATCTTGCAACGCCAATGTCACAGTTGCAAACGACTTCGATGGCAGAGAGCTTTGAGGGTTCATTGAACAA